GCCTGTAATCCCAGCTACTCAGGAGGCTGAGGCAGGAGAATTGCCTGAACCCAGGAGGCGGAGGTTGCGGTGAGCCGAGATCGCGCCATTGGACTGAGGCAAAAGAACTGCTTGAACCTGGGAGGCAGAGGTTGCAGTGAGCCGAGATCATGGCACTGCACCACTCCAGGCTGGGCAACAGAGTGAAACTCCATCTCACCAAAAAAAAAAAAAAAAAAAAGTCAGCAACAAAAGATTTCTCAGTTTATTTGCATGTATACATTGTCACCCCAGGGAGTCAGCTCTATTTCAGGAGTCCCCAGCTCCCCTTACCGAGCCAACACCCAAAACCCACCCAAGAGGATGGGTCCTGGATAAATAATGCCCAGGACTCATATTCTAACCCCATAGGTTATAACAGAATTCATCTAGCAAAAACAGAGGGCTAGACGGCCAGTGTCCATGAGATGTCCTTGCCCCTTTGTAAACATTGACATCCAGGCCACTGGAGCCTGGGGAAAGTGTGCAAATATGAGGATGCCACACTGTGTGCCCAGGGGCCAGGTACACAGCTGGCAAACATACCCATGAAGTCCTGAGGGTCTGCCCCCACTGGAACATGGCAAGTGCCAGGGGCAGAAACAAGGCAGTTACCCCACACCCGAGGGCTCACATGAGATGGCAGCGACGCTCTTGACCATAGGAATTCTCCACACGGGCAATCTCCTGGATCACTTTGGTGAAGATGCATTGAGTCAGCTACAAGGGGAGAGGATTCAGGGCAAAAGTCAGTTCAGTGTCAATACCACCCAGCTCTGGAGTGAAAGCCCCATTCCCCGAACATGCCCACCACCAAGCAGTACAATAAGGAAAACACAGGTATCACCACCACCCTTCTAGTCTTCAGGCCCAGCACCTGATTCTCTCGAGCAGATGACTCCATAAATGTCGCTCCCCAGGACTCTGCCAGCTTCTTCCCTTCAACTGCCTGTACCTCTCTGGAAGAAAATTTGGGACATAAAGATGGAGAAATGGCAGCAAGTGCTTTGAAAAATCTTCAGAATCAAGGCTTCCTGGCCAGGCACAGTGGCTCATGCCTGTAATGCAGCACTTTGGGAGGCCTAGGCAGTGAATCACTTGAGCTCAGGAGTTCAAGACCAGCCTGGGCAACACAGTGAAACACCATCTCTACTAAAAAGAAAATGAAAAGTTTTTAAAAAAGAAAAAAAAAAAAAAAAAAAGCCAGAAGCAGTGGCTCATGCCTATAATCCCAGCACTTTAGGAGGCCAAGGCGGGCAGATCACGAGGTCAGGAGCCCCAGACCAGCCTGGCCAATATGGTGAAACCCCATCTCTACTAAAAATACAAAAATTAGCCGGGCATGGTGGCAGGTCCCTGTAATACCAGCTACTTGGGGAACTGAGGCAGGAGAATAGCTTGAACCCAGGAGGCAGAGGTTGCAGTGAGCTGAGATCGCACCATTGAACTCCAGCCTGGGCAACAGAGAGAGACTCCGTCTCAAAAA